CACGCTCCGCGCACCCTTTTCTATGGAAAAACTACTTTGGGAAATTGTCGAAGTAACCTTGCAGTTTAGGTGTGAAATAATGTGTCGCGCGAGTATGGATCGTTGCGCGTTTTTTCTAATGGCCTTTTGAAAGTACGGCGTCACGAAATAATGACACAATTGACATTTCATTTAATTCTCTGCACTTTGACGAAACAATTAAATTAAATTAAACGTTATGTTTATTAAAATGCTTAAAAAACCTGAAACTTATAATTGCCTGTCGGATAACACAGCACGTTCTTGTTTCGTTAACAATTTCCATGCAAACGCCAAACACAACCTATTTTACACTACTTTAATCATCCACAGTTCATAAAAGCTTTTGCCAAAGAAAATGTACCTTTTAATCTCAGTCAACACAAAACGATTGTTTACGAAAATTGCCATTTAATGGTTTCACTGCCTTTGTGTGAACTTTACTTTTTCTTTAATGTTTTACTTACAATTAGATACTTCCCTCGATTATTTAATTTACATACAAATTTTAAATATTTATTAGGGTAATTCAAAATTTCTTTTTTTTTTATTGCAAATTGCATAAGATTGATATTTGGTGGCTTATTGGACATTTTAGATTTCCATAAGGAAAATAAATACAGGAATGAATAGTGATTAAAGAAAATTGTATCCTATTTTCAATGAATTCGGTCTCCCTTCCGTTATCTTAATAAACCAGCATTTAGCGAAACGTAAGTACATTGCAACGTTACAAGTCAATAATAGTTTATGAAAATCTTCCAAAGTTGTATTTTTTCCTAGTTATTTTACGATAAATGAATGCATCATTTTCGTTTGTAGTTACATATAGATATACAAGTATCTAGACAGTTGGCCGAGAATCGGAAAACATAAATTCGTTTTGTCATTCGAATAAGAAAAGTAAACTACTGCGATGAATTCTATTGTTTGTTTCGAAACAGCTTTATGACAACGGGGCCGTAACTACGTTGTTACCGAACAAGAACGTATAGGTAAGAAATAAAGAATAAGGGGTCAGACTAGATCAAACCTATGCATGTTTTGTTCGGTTATAACAACTATGTTCTGTGTAGTAACCAAGCAGTAGGTCGGTAGTATTTTAATTTCTTATTAGCTCTGTTTGCTTCCTACCTCGGTGGACAAAAGGTCTTTTCTCTGATGGCATTCTTAATGCGCATAGCTAATGTTACACGGGACCGTGACAGCGCTGTTGTTAGCAGGAAGGGGAGGGGTCAACCGCGTGCATGTAGGAAAACAATTAGCGTTGCATGCAGATTAGGAATTAAAATAATCACACATGCCACCTATCGCGACTGTTTACGATGCATTGCTTGCGGAGAGGGCCGCCGTTATCTTGTTACCGACGGAATTACCGCCAGACTCGACCCCTGATGAGACCGCCAGTGGCGTTACAAAACGCTCGAAATTATGATTTTCAATCCGAAAAAGTACCTACCACAAAACACACCGGATGAGAGTTTAAATTGTAGCGGCTCATCAAGAAACCTAAACCCAGTGCTGAGAGATGAGACCGCCAGTGGCGTTACANGCGGAGATTTTTTCCGTAAATTACTTTCAAAAATACTTTAGGATTTCCTATATGTATTTATATTGGCAAATGTTGTGGTAGTTATATCATATTTAAAGAGTTTTAAATTGAATGACTTTAAAATCTATTTGTGGTGTTACTGGTATTATAAAATTTTTAATAGAGGGAAAACTTAAATTTTGTTTGGTCATTCGTGATGATGGCTACAGACCGTTAATTATGGCTTGGTTTATATCTAAAAGAACAATATCAAGGAGACTGTTTGCCCACTTTGTATGTGATTGGAGCAAATTGGAGAAAATCCATTATTCTTAATCTAACAAAAGATATTGTTTCTAATTAAGAACGATATTTTGGGATTAAAAGTGGTTTAATTTTTAAACTTAGTAACAGTGTGTTTTGTAAAAAAACTTGACCCTTTGATTACATTGTTCAAAATACAATCCTTCAGGGGCTTTCAAAAAAATGTAACTGAACCAGTGAATGTGGGGGATAATACGTTGAAAACATGATAAAAAAGGAAGATCTCTGTTTGTGTTTTGTACTGTACCTCTCATATATTTGTAATGTAGACTGCAATTTATGTTATTGTGATGTGTCGACTAGAACGTACTGTGTTTAATTTCTTTCTGCTTAAATGCTTTGCACTGAAATTTGTTATTTTTGAAACGTGTTTGTTATAAGTAAATTAAAATCGCGACTTTTGTGGGATACGCAATTTGCTCCTGCTATTTCCATCAAACACTTCAGAGCAAATACTGCTTTTGAAGCTACTGGAACTGTTATGTATTTAACTGAAAATAACCGCTGTAAAAGTAATTTATTTTTTATTTACCAACGCACTGCTCATTTGCCCCTGTAACACCGATCGTAAACATGTAATAAATTGCCACTAAAGTTTACCACCACCAGTAGTTTTTTTGTCGCCTACAAATTTTTCCGGTTTTACACTTTGCAGTTCTGACATAAGCAAATCTAACTAACGATAAACATTATAACTACTTATTAAGGGGTTACTGCCTTACACTTATTGGTGGAAAGGCTTTGTGATAATAAATATATTTATATATATAGGGGTTACATACCTATACCTTGCTTATTTGAATATTCATTCCAGTATAAATTTGATAAACTACTACATAGGACGACAGCGTTATTGAATCTACTTGATGATAAAAACTTCTCAAAGCTTCCAGCTGTAGCTTCTATTGTTTTTTGAAATAAAAGTCTATTAAGAGGCATTTGAAATATTTTGATTTTTAACTGTGACTTTTAGAAGGTATAAGTAGTTTAGCTGTACAAAAAAAAAGCGATCTAAATAGTAGAATGGCAAAACAATTACAAATCATTTACCTATCTCAATTTAAATTTTAAATACACAGTACGGTTCTACGGTTTAGATGCAACGTTCCGGATAAATAAGTCCGGATGTCAGAAGCCAATTGTGCCTGAGACAGTCTGGATTTGAATCCGGTCTAAGCAGATTCACCTCTTAACAAAAGCAAACTGGTTTCGTTCGTCTATTTTTATCTACAATTAGATCGGTATTTTAGGAACTAACACGGAAATCGATGTATAGCACTCGGTTAAATTATCTGGCAAAAGTTGGGGTCTTGGTGAAGTCCATAAAAACAACCATGGCGTATATAAATTCTAACTGAAGACAGTTTTAAGTTCCTTTTTATGAACGTCAAAAAAAAAAATGAAACCGATGCTTTTTATGTACTTAATTCAAGTAAATTTGAATAGAATTTGACATTTATGCTTTACAACTTATGCTTATGCTTTTTGCTATCAAATCGAAATATTTTATTGAAAAAAAAAAACGCCACCACTTTTTCTCTTGTTCGTCGATATAACTTCGCGATTTCTTTTTCCACAAACTAGACCAGAAATTGCTTTTCGTAAGCTATCGAAATCGATATCTGTAAAGATGAAAATCGTGATGGGCGTGTAAGAAATATAAAGTGAGTGACAGATAGGGTGGTAATTGCACATGTTAAACTGCAAGTGAAAGAACTAGGTTGCTGTGCCTGCCTCCCCCAATCATTTGCTAAAAATGACGAGTAGAGTTCGATCCAATAATAATCTCTTCCACGAGGGTGCCAGATAGTACATGAGGGATATTACAGAATGAGATTTTTTGAAGCCCCTTGCATTGAAACTATAATTATATAAAATTCGACTCAAAACGGTTACACATTCATCTTTTAGACGGTTAGTATGGCATTTAATTTATAATAATTTTTATAGTGCTACAGGCGGTTTTACAGTATTATCCAGTTGCGTCGAATTATGTTGTGATTTACGAATCTTACGTCATATGGAAGGGGGTAGACAATCGACTCGGCATTTATCCATGCACCCTGAATAGAGTAACTGCTTTTGATTCCGTTAGATTCTTACTTAAAAATGGTCCTATGTCAACTCTTTGAAACTGTGGATTCTGGTAGCTTTTGACCTGTAGATCAAAGGTCTCAATGGACACTAAGTCGTTAAAATGAATCTTTTTGAGATATGACCCCATAAAGTTGCATTCTTCCGCAAGGACTTCTAAGGTACAATTATACCTACATATATATGTGTATTGCATATTATGGATGAGCCATGGTGTCAGACCAGAGAACTCTTCCCAACTTTCTCCAGAAATACTCTATGACATTGCAGAGTGCACCACCACCCCTGGTCCGAAAACATGACATATCCATGAAATGTAGCGCACGTAGACATCAACTTATGCATACACATTCAATAGATATATATGTAATTGTACCTTTGAAATCCTTATGGATTAATGCAATTATTAAGACTTTTTAACCAGGAAGTCGAGAACTATTAGAATCAAAATTTTCAAAAAGTTTAACGACGGGCCATTTCCCGTAAGGATCTAGCGGGGTCCTTTGTTAACTTCCCAGTTACGAAGATATTTTTGTAATGTATCCGAAAGATCAAAATTGTAGTTTTGAATTTATTTTGAAATTTGAAGGTTACAATTAATTGTAAGAGATTAGGCGCGTTCAAGATAGAAAATTATTAAAATCGATTCACAAACGGCGAAGAAACTGTGTAACATACACAAAAAAAAAAAATACAACCGAATTCAGAAGTTCAGTTTTTTTTTTAAGTCAGTTGAAAAGAGGCTGTCTGCTCAGCCAGTTTTGTTTGTGACAATATTGTACGATGATTGTCGAATGTAATACGTGAAAACATGAATAAAGTTGAGTACAAACGTACGTATACAGATATCCATATATAATATGAAGTCGGTTTTTGAAATATTCATCACATGTGTAGCAGCAGTAGTTTTTAATGAAATGACTGTAGGAACAGGGTTTTTTGCGATTGTTTTTCCGCATGTTTTTTTTTTTTTTACAAGAACGAACATGCATTGCATTCGCAATCAGTGGAAAAGGTAAATGCAGCCACTTACTTCCAAGTCAATGTCGTGAGTGAAACTTTCGAGAGACGGATCCTCCATCCATGCTATGCCCGAAATATCCGTCTGTACAGCAGTTGATACTAGACACGAGCATGGGGTTGTTTGGGTATCACATGATAGACTGCTGCTCGTGCTCGTACTAGAGTTATTCGTTTCCAACACCCTACGCTTTAGTTCCACAACTATGGGTTCTTCGGCTGTTAAAAATGCCCGGACTGCATCCTCGTGTGGAAATGTACTCACATCGGTTCCGTTCACCTGAAATAGCAGAGGCGGCTTTTAAAATAATTAATCCGAAAGAAAGTGAGAATTCGATTTTGATTATATAAGAACCGTCTGCACCGTAGCAGTGTTTTTTTCCCTAATATTCGGTAAAATATTAAAAACGGAATACAAATAAAACACATGGTCATACATGAGCTACTCTTTCGTTATTTCTAATTATCATACCGTACCCATGCTAGTCGGTATGCTACCACTTAACCAAATCAAAAGTTTGCTTATACGTACGTCCCCAATTAACACGTCAAAGGTAACAATAATTGCATTGTGATTAGCGATGTTTGAGTAATGTGCAAATAAATATCTGTTTTAGTAAATAATTGAACGGTCTAATTGCGGACTAAGTGTTTTCTCTTAGTTGAAAAGCCCTAATGAGAAGCCATTTCTATGCTCGCGAACGATTAATTTAAAAATTCGAAAAAGATTGTTAAAGGTGTATGTTTGAAGCGCGGAGCTGTACGGGTGCGAAACATGGACGGTGGGTGTGGCGGAAGATAAAAGATTAGAAGCGTTCGAAATGTGGTGTTACAGGCGAATGATGAGGATGGACCATGGATAAAGTAGGGTAGAAATGATGAGGTATCAGAAAAAATAGGAGAATAGAGGACTCTATGGAAGTCAATAAGAAATAGGCGAGATAGGTTGGTAGGATACCTTCTCAGGCATGAAGGTCTAGTCAGAGACACATTAGAGGTAGAAACAGGAGTTAGAAGGAGTAGAAGTAGACCTAGATTAAATTACTTGTCGCAAATGGTTAAGGATGTGGGATGTTCTAGTTTTAGGGGAATGCGAAGATTAGCTGAGGATAGGAAAGAGTGGAGGTGCGTGTCCAACCAGTTTTAGGACTGACGACCTTATGATACAAATGATGATGCAAAACAAATTTGGATTCTGGATTAAATGTGCTGAACAGACAAGTTACGAATATATTTTTCTTCTCAATAAATTTTTCAAAGAAAATGAGTTACAAATAACTTCAGGTGTGAGTAAGCAACTACTAACTACAAAAACTCCTTGAAAGAATGTTTTTCAAAGCAATTATAGGACAACCACTGAATACTGAATCCACTTGCAAATCAGGATAAACCATCAATGTTAATTGTATCAGAGTATGAGAACATGGACGTTATTGTCAGTTGATTCAAATTTGAATATGACTTTTAGATCGAATTTAAGGATGATATCCTGCAGTCGTTGAGAGGGTTATCACAAGGTTCCGGTTTCGGATAATTCGATAAATTTAAATTTAATAATTTTCTAATGTATGCGAGGGTTGACGTTCAATGAGTCGTTTTTCCTCATATTACCTGCCCAATTATAATAAATTAGATTTGAGGAAGACTCTTATAAAGTCCGTCCATATGCAAAAGCCGTGAGGGTACCGTGTCGGCTTTTTAATGAAGAATATCCCGGAAACATGAATTTCTCAAGTGCCGTATAATATACATTTAGCTGCTTTCTGTGCGGAGTGCCGTCAAGTTTGGTTTTAGAAATGAAATCGCCAAAGGTGTTTTAGCTTTTAATTAAAATATCTAGGTCTCATTTTGCGCCTTACATGTTTAATTGACAACTACTTGTATCTATCTGGTTAAAGGTATAATTACTTATGGAATAAGAAAGAACAGTAATAAGGATCCTCTTCACAACGTCTATACCTACACTACACGAATTTATCATTACGTGATGTTTTCTTGTAAAGTTGTTAAAGTTTAGAAGCTCAATAATTTCAATTTGACTTGAGATCGTCAGAAGGCGATTTTCCGTAAGGATCTAACGGCGTCCTTTTGTATCTTCCGCAGAGAGAGGATATTTCGACAATCTGTGACAAACGGGAAGTCGATGAACATAAAAAGTGTCGTCTAATTTAGATGACCATTATTACTTGTTCTACAGAAAAATGAATACATAAAAATTCAATTCAAATGAACGAAAAGTTCAATTAAAAAATAAGACTAAATGCGGGCTCCCGTTAGAACTCAATTTCCGAAGGATTCTTGTAGCTTTTCTAAAAGGAAATCGTTAGTTGATTTAGTCGTGCTTGTGTAGTTCCGCATGAATTAAGAACCATCTCAGATCACTTATAAATATGACGACGCGCATTGCCGTCCCCGTCTTCGGCGTCGTCAATCAGCGACTTGAATTTGTACCGTTCGTTAGCTTTTTTGTTTTTTCAAGAAGAAATTCTCAGACTTTGAGATTCGCGACGGAGAAGCGGAAACCGAAACACACTAACTAGGCCCCGTAGAGGAATTAACTGCATAAATATTTTTTTTATAGAATTAGTTTCTGTAGTTACAATAAAGCAGACAAGGGGATTATATTATTAAATGAATTAAGTAATATTATTAATTATAATAATCAACTTTTATCGTCTTAAGGCCAGTTTCGTCATGTACATGAAGAAATATAATTCAGTTACTTAACATAAATCAATTATGTATCTATATAAAACGGCTTCAAATAATATTTCTTTACGGATACAGTACGATTACGGCACGGATGCGTGTAAACAGATCTTTAGACAGTGCGTGCATGCGGTGTTCAGGGACTTGGAAGTTTTCGAAGGTAGTTTAAACAATCAGATTTGTATTTTGTTGTAAGGGTCGAGTTAATGTGCAGCTTGTGTGCGAGCTTGGAATCGTTCTTTCTTCGACGTCGCGTCGTCATAGCCGTTGTGTCGTTGAAAGTCGTGCCGGCAAATTGAACGAGTACGTATTTGATTCAATTATCCGTTGCCTTATTCAGAGCACCTGATGCGGTGTCGGTTTCAAACTAGAGTGAAAAGCACATTTAAAGAATTTCAACAAAGCGCCACCGTCACAATACGACCCTGATGATTGATCAAAAACTGTACGGACCATCGTCACCTCTTCCTCATTAACATTCCTATTGGTTTGGGGTAGTTTTTAGGTTTTGGTTCAGTTTTCTTCTTTTCAGAACGTTCTCAATTACAGATGGGCCGGGTACCCAGCTTGGAACCGGCAGCTGGCGGATTCGGCACTTATTTTTAGGGTCCGGTCGGATAACGGAAAATGACGCCTGGTAACTTTACCAGAGAAAAAAGAAAAAACAGAAATAATAATTTGAAAATTAAAAAAAAAAGTTACCCAATAGAAGTATATAACTTCTAACGCGTGTAGGTATAAGTATACACACCATGCTTTTTAATTTGGTTTGTGTTGGTAATTCAAATTTATTTCCCGTGAGTTATAAGGGTTAAAACGTTTACCGAAGTTGTAAACTTGGCTGTTTTGCAAAGCGTATTGCAGGCACCTTAAATTGCATTTGAATCCGTCAAAAGGATTTTGACGGTGCGGTGGTATAGCCAGTACATTTTGCTTACGAACATAAATATGTATAAATGCTTTTTGTAACACGATGAGATCAAAAGGAATGCAGAAGTAATTGTTGGGTTAATTACTGGAAAGATTAAACTTGTGTATAAAAGGCAACTGTAAACGAGGTCTTGATTTAAATGCATAAATGCTTGTCTCAAGAATTCACACTTAACTTAGTAAACGCCGAAAACGGAAGCGGTCGAAAAAAAATTTAACACTTCAATTTTTGGGAACAAAGGGGAAGTGAAAAGAAGAAAGGTTTAAGGGGAAGTACATATATAAGAAGAGAAATCCGCTAAAGCGTGTTTGTACTATACCATGTAGACGATTACGTTTGAAGTACGTGGTAGTTCTTTCTGAATGTGCTATTGAGCTAGTGTAGGTGCGTTTGTAACGAAAATTTGTACAGCAGTCTCCTCTGATAATGCAACTTTCTGTAACTATGTGACTATTACAAAAAAAGGATGGAACTGTGTTTTAGGTCTGGTCGAAATCCTGGATCCTGTCGTTTAAAAATTTTAAATTAAATTAAAACTAAATAACTAACCTTGCCTTTCAAATTTTAAGTAGTTTTGGATTAACATATCGTATGTTTGTGAAAAGTTTTTCAAAACCCAATTTTGTAAAAAATAAATACTGTGCATCTCTAACTGATTTATGAGTAGCATATATTTGATTTGTTCTTATTTACTGTCATACTCAACATAAGAAAACTATTGAAACAAAAACAATGCCAGAAATCACATTGATTGTACCAATTAGAGACTTGGATATAGACTTGTGTTACACAGAATTTTGTTTGTCTATTTGGCAGTAAATGTTAATTTTTTTGTTGCAGAAAACAAGACTTTAAAAAGATTAGGTAACAAAAAAAGAAACTGTCAATACGTCAATAAATTACCGCCAGTGATTTTTAAATGGTAAATTTCGTTCAATTGTTAAAAAGTTTGAACATGCATGGTAGAGGGTAAAGAAGATGGTCTTCATTAAAATATAAATAGGAAAATGGTATCGTTCATCCAAATTTGGACACGTTTAAAAAGTGGTTTAAAAAGTACTATAAAATATCGTCGACATGCCGACTGAAAAATAGGATCTCGATAGCATGAATTGCATGACGCCAGTTGAGTTTTCACTCGACGCGTTTCTACATTTAAACTCTTATCACACCTTACTTTAATCTCGGTTTTTAAATAAAGAAAGCCAATTCAGACCGAGGGTTGATACGGCATGTTCAACGTTGGTTGCTGGTGGTTGTTTTGATGCCATTTTACTCGACATAGGCCGTATTATTCGCCCTGTTCACACTTGACGGCACCGATTTACAATTATTTCTCACTGGTATACAGTGGTGTGGTTGAATGTGTTGAGTTTAAAAAGACGTAAAAATTCTCGGGTTGTGTGAATGTGCAGGTAGGTAGGTAGGTACGTGTGTTTAGATGCAGTGCGTTTTTTCAAAAAATGTTTACGAAAACGAAATGAGCTGACTACGAATTAGTCACGCTCCGCGCACCCTTTTCTATGGAAAAACTACTTTGGGAAATTGTCGAAGTAACCTTGCAGTTTAGGTGTGAAATAATGTGTCGCGCGAGTATGGATCGTTGCGCGTTTTTTCTAATGGCCTTTTGAAAGTACGGC